TTCTACTACTTTGATAAGTCTCTGAATTGATTCCATGTCGTCGATCTTGACAGCGGCACGAACCTCCACGATCGTCAATCTCCACTAAGGCACGAACACTCCAATGAAGAGAATGATATGATATGGGTGCTATGTTGATTAGATTCACACGGAACAATCTAATCAACCTAACGATGTTATGTTCAATGAACTCTCGAAAAGATGTTGGTGGAAAATCTCAAGAGTTCATAAAAATTAACTCACTCAAAACAAGGGTTTTATGCACAAGGCCAATTAAGAATATGTTAATTGTTAATTTTGTCTACTAAAACAAGGTATTTATATTACTTAAAATTTGCTTAGGTTAAGACTAGGAAGATGTAAAAAGACCCAACATAATTAGGACAAAGATTTCCTAGAAGAAACACATGAAAATCAAAACATGAAAAATGAAATCCCGTGTTTTCGCTCAAGCCTGAGAGACAAAATTTACACGCTCGAGCGGCAAAACATTGAATGTTCATAATGCATGTACCGCTCAAGCACCAATAAGCCTACTCGAGCGACAGAGAACAAAAATCAACAAAAATGTAATGTGAACCTGATTTCGTCAAAACCAAAACACTTGTGAACGCATGAATGCAATGTAAAAACATTTTAAGCTTATTCTAAATTATACTAACCACCTAGAATACATAAATAATATATATCACGACCCGACTCTCCTAACAAGATATTGTCCGCTTTGGGCCTCCTCCATCACGGTTTTGTTCTTGGGCTCAAGCTAATGCTATCTTGCTCAAAAGGCCTCTTGCTAGGAAGAGAAGTGCCTACACATATAAGGCACTTCACCTTTCGCCCCCCGAGCGATGTGGGATTGCTCACCGTTCTTGTTTCCCTAGGACACGGGTCTTACAATATCTAAGTCTAACTTACCTCACCTAAATTCATAAGAAGCCTTGTTTGATGATGAACGGTCAAATATGGGCAACTTCAATCAATCTGCATTTCTCTTGCTTTCCCAACTTCATAACCTCACTCATGACTCAATCTAAAACATTCTAGTGCTTACATAGAAAATAAGCTTAGGCTAAGGAATGCCAATTTACATATATGACACTTACAATATATGATTTAGCATCAAGATTAAGTAGTTCCAAATATGCATCATCCTCCGGAGTTGCAACCTGCGACATGTACACCCCTGGTGGTGGCCATACATTACCAGCCACAAGAGCAACATCTTGAAGTACTTGATCATACGAGTTGGCCTCAATATCCAATTGGTATTGACTCCTAATATTATTTGCTTGTAACCGATGTCTCACCACCAAATGTATGCATTTCAAGTGTTTAAAACATCCTCCTAAATCCCGTCTCAACCACTTTAGTGACTGTTTCCAAGTACTCTTGGTTACGGAAACGTTGATGATATATATCTTCGTCCAAGCATACTTGAAAGTAGTCACTGAATCGTTCCATTAGTCAAAGAGTATGACCACTTAAATTGGGGTCGGAAAATACTCGAATAGAGCTTTAATCTCAAGGTCTCTTAAATATATCCAGAAGATGACGTGGTCACATATGGTAGAAATTAGGCTTAATTATGTACATGCCCCCTGTGCTTTCCAACTTATCTCAGATTACCACCTGTGGTGGAAAACGTCTCAAAGTACCCCCCAACGTGCAAAAAACTGTCTCACGTTACCCTTTCCGTCAGTTTTTTTGAAGTTCCGTTACGAATGTTACTGTTCATCTCCCCCAAAATTCCAGAACAGCAGCTCCTCCCATTTGTTACTGTTCATCGCACCAGTTTTTGGGCTGCCATCGCCTCCTCCGGCCACCCCAAGCGACGACATGGATATCAAAAGAACCAGCACGTTGTCCTCTACCACCCTCACATCTCAGCCGCTGCCAACCGTCGTCTGGATCACCGAAAAAAGCAAGAAATTGGCCGGTTTTTACCCAAAATCTCCATTGCTCGTTCGGGCGATTCCGAGCACCATTTTCTTCGATCCAGGTATGATTTTTCAACCTCTCGAGTTGTTCTTGCTGCTAGTTGTGTTGGTTAGGAGAAATTTCTGAGTTTTGGAGGGTAAATAAGCGATGAACAGTAACAAAGGGGAGGGGCAGGGGGCATGTACATAATTAAGCCTAGAAATTATAACCCACTTCCTGAAAAACCAAACGCTTTCATTTCACACACAACACAGAAAGAAACACCATTCATAGCCGTGCTCTGCTGCCATACAATATTGTAACCCACTTCCTGCTACGAGGAAACAAGCCAAAAGTCCCTTTTTTTACCGTTAATTTGTCTGTTGTTATTTCCGTTAACCGCGCACGTTAGCAACGAAAAAGAGCCTGTGCGCCTCCCCACAAACCAAACGATTAAAAAAAGAGCAAAAAGCACTGATAACAGAGTGAACTCAACGATACCTCCACCAACGGGCACAAACTTCTCTTTCTTTCTCTCTCTCTCTCTTTTTCTCTTGGAAAACGGGACCCAACTTATGAATTCAGCTCACTCCGTTCCAACGATTGAACTCGGCCATGGCGATTTCGACTGTGAGTTCACTGTTCCGAGCTCGGATTTTCATGACCATGTCTCCGCCGTTGATCCTCGTTTGAGCTCTATTAGCAGCGGTCTCAGCTCATAGTGTTGCTTCCTGTTCAAGTCTGCGCTAATTGACGGTCGTGATCTCGCTGTTGATTTCAGATCTGAAGCGTTACCCAGTAATCGACGGCGTCGATGATGTCTGAGCTCACAGGTTCTCCCCATCCCCATCGCTAATTCTAATTTCGTTGCTCATTGTTCTTAAAGTGAGGACTTAGTTGTGTAATCGATTTAAAGCTTATACTTTTTTATTTTTTGCTGATTTTTCTATCCATAATTCCAACAACTTTTTTAGTGAGTAAGCTTATTAATTAAAGGAGCTATTTTGCGTTTTTCTGGTTATGAATTGAGTGGCAGCGAGGTGCTCCGGTTGCATAGTAACCCTTTGTTTGGATGCAGAAAAAACTACGGAAAAAGAGGAGAAATAATAATTATGGGTTTTGTCCCTTTATGAAGACATTCGATTAGGGCTCACAAAGTGAGTGATGTTTTTGTTTTCTTGGGTCCCTGCAACCATGTGAACCATTCTTTGTAAAACTTGCATTAGATGTCAGATTATGGCTGTTTTAATGTGTTTGTTCTGGAGCCAATCTAGCTGGAAATTAGGTAACAAGTCTAGAGCTTTTCTTATCATGAGAGCTTTTGTGAGTGTGAGTAGTTTTTTATGGGTGAATTGAACGCTAATTTTGAATCAACAATGCAGGAATATTGAAGAAGGTCCGATGGTTGTCGATGAAATACTTGCTTTTGTTTTGTTATGTGATATCCATCATCGATGCAGCACCATCAATATCTCCCATGGGTGCACCGTGGGCAGCACCTGATATGCCAAATCTTCCCTTGCCAGCTGATTTGCCAGTGTCCCATAGACACTGGCAAAAACATTTCTTGCCACGTGCTGCGCCAGTTGCACTATCACCTGCACACCCTCCTTTTTATGGTCCCTTAATAACTGCTGGTCATCCCCCTGCAACTTCTCGATTGTCAAGGCCAGCAATGAAGAGGAGTGGCTTGGCACCTCCCCTTGCTGGCTTTCAGAATATTGCCCCAGCACAGTCGAGTGCTGGTACAATCCCTTCGGGTTTAGCACAGCCCCCACTCACTCCTTCTATTTCCAGTAAGTTACACTCTGAACTGTGTTATTTATTTTCCCCCCTTTTTTTTATGAATTCAATAATTTCAGATGACTGCTTTATCATTATAAAAAAAAAAAAAAAAGTAAGATAATCTTTAATAGGTCTAATCTTCACTATTTTAGTCCTCCTCATAAGAAAAGAAAGTCACATAGACTTTTTCATTTTTTATATCTCCCTTCAATGGCCATCCTTACGAACCAAAAAAAAAAGCCAAATACAAAATCTAGTAGACGTTTCATTAGCATCATGATGGTTTTAGTTCGTCTCGTTTTTCTAATCACTGTAAAGGTGACTAAATGGTTTCTAGTTTGGCTTATTTTTCTGTTAGGATGATCCTTAAACGAGGCCTTAAAGAATTGTCAGATTATTGGGTTACTGGATCACGTATGCTGTCCGTTTCTTTTCTTAGAAAGAGAGGTCCCTTTTTAGAACCGTATAAATAAATAAATATATATATACACACACAAACCCCTTCTTAAGGGGGATCTCTTTTTACTATTCACCAAAAGGGATTCTTGCAAGTGTGTGCAGTAGATTGTTGCAAGTGTTCATGAATTGTGCGGGGTTTAGCCAAGAAACTATGAAATTGCCACTTTTTTCCTGAGAACTTATTTGGCATGGGGCAAAGAAGAAGGCTGTTACACTTTGAAGATGTGCAGTTTTGGCTTCTATTTTGGCTATTTGGATAGAAAGGAACAAGATAATATTTGACAAGAGGATGGATGACGTGGTTTCTAAGAGTCAAATTTCTAGTCTCTCTTTGGGCCTCTTTGTCTAAGCATTTTATGGAGTTCTGAGTTGAAGTAAATTTTCCTTTTAAGCACTGGCTGCTGTGTTCTCTTGAAGGACTTTTTATCCGTATTTCATTTTATTATATACATTTTTTTTAAATAGTTCCCAGTTCCCATAAATAAGCCAAATATTTATATGTTGAAGTTATTGACAAGTGATGAATTACTAAACTTCCTGCCTAATTTCATATTAAAAACATATCAACTACTCAATTCTTATTTATTCTGCACAATTTGCACAATGTAATTGTGCTGAGACCTAACTCTGTTGCTGACAAAGGTTTTTTTTTTTTCATTCCTTCCAGACTGTTGCAAACCAGACATGGTATTGAGACGCGAAAGTCAGGGTTGCCACTGTGTTTATCCCATTAAGCTTGACCTCCTCCTCTTAAATGTTTCACAAAATCCTAATTGGAATCTTTTTCTTCAAGAATTAGCTTTGCAGCTTGGTTTGAAAGTTTCTCAAATAGAGCTGATTAACTTTTATGTACTCAGCTTGTCAAGGTTAAATATTTCGATGGATATTACTCCATATCCAGGTGTCAGTTTCTCGGCAAGTGATGCATCAGCAATAAACTCTTCTCTTGTCATGCACAAGGTTAATTTAGACCCCGCATTAGTGGGCGATTACAAACTCCTCAATATAACTTGGTTTAAGCCTCCACCTATTTCTCAAGGTAATTCTGACATATCCCCAATGTTTATATAATCTTCTATACTGTGTTTGTTTGCAATATGGCGGTAATCTTTATGGTGAGACAACTGTAATGTTTCAAGTTTTAAATAGATATAGCTTCATTCTTTTAATCCAGACCAAAAAACTTTGAAATAGGTAATCTCTGCATTAATGTGTCTGTGTGTTTGCTTTTACCCTACTATATATACATGTATATATTATTTTGGCTGTGTAGGGCTAGAGTAATAATTTTGCCCTACTGAAGATGTTGTGTGCTTTTGTTATGCTGGTTGGCCTACTTGCTTCATAGAAGTCAACTCTATTATATGAATCAGAATATTAACATGCTCTTGTTTTTTTTCTTTTGTTTTTAAAGCTCCTGTTGCTACATCACCAGTTGAAGCCCCACCAAAACCATCACCGACTCATACGTCCTTAACTGCTTCAAGTAAAGGGAAACATTCAAATTTGAGTCTTATTATTGGTATTGGTGCCGGAATACTGTTAATTTCCATTATAGCTGTGCTCATACTTTGTTTATGCACATTCCGTCAAGAGAAGACTAAAGAATCTAATATAGAAACAGGTATGTGGTTCCATTTTCAGATTCATACATTTTCCTGTTTTCTTCTGGTTTCAATGGTGTCCATGGTCTTTGGGTATTATCCTGGTCATAACTTACTACTGCTAGGAACCATTGTGTGGACCAACCTTTAATTACGCTTTCAGAGTTTTGCAGTCATGAAGATATTATTATCCAGATGATATTCCTATCTCGTTACTAAAAAAGCAATAAATGTAAATGTAAATCATGCCTGACAATGTGAACAAATGGTGTATGTCTGTGTATAAATATGGTTAAAGTTTTTTAACTAGTTGCATTTTCAATGATCTAAATCCAGTTAACCAGCTGCAGAAATTTTTTGAAGATCTGATGAAAAGAGTTGCATGAAACACCAAAGCAGAAACTTGAAATAGATTTGAGTTTGACTTTTCTGCATTAGTAGTATAGATTTTCTGTTTAAGTTGCTTATTTCATGCCTTTTTTTCCTCCTCTTTTTTTGTGGACTTTTTCAGCCCCAGAAAAGCAGAGTAGCGTCGAAACAGTTTCCGCAGTAGGATCTCTACCCCACCCAAGCAGCACTCGGTTTCTGGCATTTGAAGAACTTAAACAAGCAACAAACAACTTTGAACCTGCAAGCATACTCGGAGAGGGTGGTTTTGGCAGGGTGTTCAAGGGCGTGTTAAGTGATGGTACAGCTGTTGCAATTAAAAGACTTACTAACGGAGGGCAACAGGGGGATAAGGAGTTCTTGGTTGAGGTTGAGATGCTTAGCAGGCTGCATCATCGTAATCTGGTGAAACTTGTGGGTTACTATAGCAGTCGTGACTCCTCACAAAACTTACTTTGCTATGAGCTTGTGCCAAATGGAAGCTTGGAAGCCTGGCTTCATGGTAATTTCTTGAATCACATAATGCCATCTAAAGTTAACTGTTTCACTAAATTTATTTAATTATTGCTGGGTGTAGCGTTTCAAAATAGAAAACATGTTATATCTTAATCATACTTTTTCTTCTTGATATGCATTGCTGCTGACTATGCTCTCTCTCTCACTCTCCTCCCATCTCAGGTCCCCTGGGAGTAAATTGTCCTTTAGATTGGGACACCCGAATGAAGATTGCACTCGATGCTGCCAGAGGACTTGCTTACCTGCATGAGGACTCACAACCGTGTGTTATCCACAGAGATTTTAAAGCATCCAATATATTGCTGGAGAACAACTTTCATGCTAAAGTTGCTGATTTTGGCCTGGCTAAACAGGCACCTGAAGGCAGAGCAAATTATCTTTCTACTCGTGTGATGGGAACATTCGGGTTGGTCTCAAATTATACCATACTTAGCTTGTCATTTCTATCATTTGGAATGGCACTTAGATGTAATTATTAAATTTTACAGGTACGTAGCTCCAGAGTATGCCATGACTGGACACCTACTTGTTAAAAGCGATGTTTACAGCTATGGGGTTGTCCTTCTTGAATTACTCACTGGTAGAAAGCCTGTAGATATGTCACAGCCAGCGGGGCAGGAGAATCTTGTCACCTGGGTTAGTATTATTCATACAGCCCCTCGTTCTTCTGTTTTTAAATTGACCATTTCTATCGAAAAGGATAAAAAGTAACAAGTTTAATATTCTTAGGAAAGAAAGAAAAAGAAAAAAACTAGTGGTATATTTGTTCCTTCTTTTGAAGCATAAAGTGACATTCAATTGGTCTTTTGCCATTATTATTTTGGATGGGAGAGTGAGACATTAAGTTTTCTATCTTCCAGGCAAGGCCAATTCTTAGGGACAAGGATAGGCTGGATGAGCTTGCTGATCCTAGTCTTGAAGGAAAGTACCCAATGGAAGATTTTGTACGAGTTTGCACGATTGCAGCAGCTTGTGTTGCTCCTGAGGCAAGCCAACGCCCTACAATGGGTGAAGTGGTACAGTCACTGAAGATGGTACAACGAATCACGGAGTATCAGGATTCCATGTTAACCTCTTCCACTGCCAGACCCAATCACAGGCAGTCATCAACTACCTTCGAGTCCGATGTGTCATCTTCAATGTTCTCGTCTGGTCCTTACTCTGGTCTAAGTGCCTTAGATAATGACAATGTGTCTCGGGCAGCAGTTTTCTCTGAAGATCTTCACGAAGGACGATGATTGCGTAACAGAAGTCGACATTCTGTTCAAAGCATAGTTGACTGTCCTGTATAGCAATGTAGGAGCAGTCCCCCTGTGAGCAGGGGATATACAGGTTGATTTTTTTAGTAATAGGTAGGTTTTGTAATTGTGATTCTTGTTGTGGGGAAGGATGAGTGTCTTTTTTGTAGTCCTTTATGTGGGGGAACCATTGTTCAGTTTTCTCCATAGGCAGTGGTTCTTCCCACGGTGGATGAAATTTTGTATATGCTTTCTAAGCTTGTTTTATGACATTGGGGTTTTAAGTGTTTCGTATTTATATATCCATTTTCCATGTCTTTCAAATTCACTGTGTTACTTGGGATTCAAGATCCCAAATTGGAAAAATAGCACCCTAGACTAGTTTAAGAGCCCTTGAGCATCTGTCCTTGATGACCCAGTTTTCAAGGCAAGTTCTACCCATGCTCTTAACAACGGCTACCATCAAGGTCTAAAATATTGATGGTATTAGAAATATTGGTAATCCAAAAACACGAAAATTTTGATGAAAATATCGGGATATTATCGATATCAATAAAAATTGAATAAAAACGACATAAATTGTAAGAAAAACTTAGAAATTTTATTAAAACTTTGGAAGATGTTTAATTAGTCAATTTTCAATTAGTTTATCACAAAAAATTGGAAGGAAATGCATTGTATGATTGGTTGAATTGATTTAAGTTGATTATATAACAATTTGACAAACACTGTGTGAGTGTAGAAAATATGTAGTCATTAATGAAAGAAGATTAAATACACCATAATCATTTATATATAATTATTTCATATAATATTTTACACTTTATACATTGCATGGTAAGATGCATGAGTGACTTAGTACCAGATGCATGAGTGACTTAGTACCACATAAAGTTCCCCTTTGCGTATTATCACAAAAAACATAGTGTTTGTGTTTTTTTTCTCTTTCCTTTTTCCTGTTGCATTGATATTTTCGATATTATAGTGATATTTTGACAAAATATTGCTGAAGTATGAGCGAAATTATCGATATAGATATTTTCCGATATTATCGATATTTATACGATATGTGTATGGATATGTTCCGAAATATTCGTGACTCGAAAAAACGATAATATTCTCGATATTTCGTCGATATTATCGATATTTTAGACTATGACTACCACCGGTCAGTGTCAATAGAGAGTGTCAACAAGTCTAAAAATTTTGGTATTCCAGAAAGTCAACGAGTCTATTGTTAATTACATGAATATTAATTTGACTTGTTAAGGGTAATTTGATTGATAATGATTTATATATATTATATGAATAATATTTTTTTATTTCAAATCCGGTGTGGATTGATAAGTTGAATCTGAATATGATTATAAAAGGATTTGGACTTGGATTAAGGCTAGTCTCATCCGAATTCGATCTTGTTACAAGCCTAAAGAGACGAGAGGTTGAATTGAAAGTCATGTCACATAATTGCACCTTGATTATCCTCAGTTTTTTCAACCAAAAAAATAAAATGAAAATATCTCTAAAGAAGAAGGAAAGGTCACAAGATGACTTATTTAGAGCCGCAAAGATAAAAAAAGAGAGTTAATTGTGTAGGGTATGGATTATAGAAGAAAACAAATGTGGAAGTAAGTTCCTATGGAGATCCCAGCTGGTTGTTTTGGAAGCGTCACTTCATATCGAAGTTGTCGGTCGTGTAACTCATGCATGTTATTGTATAGGTCAATATAATGAATTCTTATCCATGCACGTGAATGTGTCTTAGCTTATTTGATGAACAACTGGGCACTTATTAATTGCTTCAAGACAACCTGTGCTATATAAAACACGTGAGTTGCTACTCTCGAAGACAATATATATGCTATCATGGAGCAGTCTATGCATTTGAAGAAGGATATGATGACTCTCTTTATTTTGTCATAATTTAGAATTTTAATAAATAATTTTATGAGATATGTGAAACAATATTATGTAGGAAAAGTAGATTAAGGAATGTATTATTAGGGTTGTGTGGCGGGGTAATTGATTATTAAAGGCTCGTGTGGGAGTGATTCTAGATAGACCAAAAAGAACTTCTATGGAGAATTACCTCTCCATATAATCTCTTTAGTGGTTTTAAGTGATTTTATAAATAACCACACGAGAGGTACTTATCTCCGGAAGTAATTATGACATATCCAGAATCACTTACAATCAAACTCTAATTATTAGTAACAAGACTTTTTAAAAGAAAACCAAATAAATCACATTAAGTGATCCACAATAAATCACCCTAATTATTAGATACATTATTCTAATCTACTTTAGTTCATTTTTTTAGACATGTGATAATGCACATGTCTAATAATAATACTAATAATAGATCAGTGTGGATCTCGACGAGTATATGAACACGTGAAATGACACTACAATTATTAAAGGAGAGATAATAGTATAATTTAATTTAAGAACTGTTTGGAGTTAGTGTCCTTGGACGCATGATGACACAAACGCAAAGCCAACTGCGTTTTGAAGCGTCTAGAGCCTCAAGTTTTGGGATATTTTAGTTGTATGTCGAACCAAGGTCACAAACTAAAAATGTCTCGCTACATAGTACATAAGAATTTTGCTAACGTACGTCATGCGCAATTACGATAATAGCACAATTATTAATCAATGATTATACTAGCGTCACAGAACTATAAGCATGCAGAGTGGCGCTAGCCTAATCCAGAGGCCTTGTAAGGTTGGAGGAGTAGTCCATTTTTGCAGGAAAGCAAAAGTACTCAAGGCAAACAGAAGGACGAGATAGTTTTTCCAGAACAAGACATGACACATTCACGTGTCCCCGTTATCCACGGAATTGGTCCGAAATGGCTCTTCTTTGCATGCAGCATGCGATTGCGACGCTAGTGCTGAAAAATATCCTCTTCTTTGTAATCAACTCCACCTTGAACAAACATGGCTTGTTTGCAGTACACGTAAGCCACCATATCTAATTCTATCCAGACGAAGTACGCATAATTGTTGTTAATGCGCGCAAAAGAAAGTGTATGATTTGTGCGAAGAAGAAATTATATCCATAGTTCTTGACCCACCCTAACTTTTGAGAAATTTATTTACCACTACATATTATAAATAATTGCTCACATTATTCCGAACTTTTGAGAAACGCTTCCATGAGATAGGCCTATTCCGCAAACCAACCATAGTGATGACTTGTTTACTAATTAAGTAACGAGAATACGAAGAAAGATAATATTATAAAGAATGAAAGAGAATCGGGTCAACTGTCTTCTCTTAATTGATTCAATTTATAGAGTGATGATTAAACTTGAAATTTCTTATAATATTGCTAAGTTAAATATTAGTTGGTGTCTTAGAGTAAGGCTTTCATCTCCCAAGAATCTTTGGATCAATGAATTTGTAACATAGGTTTATTCGCAAGATACATGACAAAGGATAAATTACAAAATCAAATCAAGTCCACGTCAATAATGAGATGGATTTAACAATGTTAATTATTTTATCTTACACAACTTCCAAATAGAAAAATATGTATCAAAAGCACATTAATGGAGTTCTCTTCCAATGAATAATTTGCCGGCCCTGCACACAGTGGCGGATCCAGGATTCAAAAGTCATGTAGGCAAAACTTACCTTAAAAACTTGACGGTACGAGTGAATTTTATTGATAAAAATAAAAAGATACACCTAGTCAGGGAGGACTAAAGGAGCCTTACCCTCAAATATGCATTTTTATACATAAAAAAAAGCTGAAAAAAAAAAAAAAAAAAACAAGAA